TAACAATGTCGAAATCAACAATCACACTCCCTTGGCGAATGCTCTTTATCACCACCATCATTTGCTTTGACTCAATGAGACTCTGGAAGTTTGCTGGAAGATTCTTTTCAATCTAGAAAGAGTGGAAGAAAGATTGGGAATAAGTCTTGCTCAGTGGACTTCACAGAGTTATACACTGCATTGTTGGAATGTATGAGACAAATTGCTTACCTCTCGTGTGAAGTTTGCAGCAAATTCTATATATTGTGGACTAGTAGTGTTCCCATATGCAGACACAAACTCAACAGTTGTAATCCGGGTCACTGCAGTGTAAACGTTTGCAGCTACATGGAGAAAAAATACAAATTCCTTGATAACAAAATGGTATAGGAGAATGCAATGATTTGACTGTATAGAGCAAAGTACAATACTTCTATGGACCAATGTGCTTTTCTGTATGAACTGTGAGTAAAGCTTAATCAGTATGTAAGCTGCAATATAAAAATTAAGCATTAAAATTAAAATGAATTAAATTATTTCATACTAAAGATAAACGTAAATGTATCTAAGGAGGTCTAATTTCTTTAAAAAACTGAATATGCTTAATTATGATACTTACCAGTCGTAATTATTTTTGAAAGCACTTTCTTCCCATGGCATGGAGTCATTTCTATGAGTACAGTGTACTTCACTCCAGGATCCAGATTTGTAAATTCTGTCCTGGTTATAGTCACGTTTCTTTCAATGATATTGTGGCCATTTTCTGATTTCAGCTTCACTTTGTATGACATCTGGGCAATGAGATTAATTCCACTCCAGCTCACTCTTATTGTGGTGCTGGTGACTTCCTCAAGCTTGATGAAAGTCACTTCACTACTTTCTACAAGAAGCCAAACAACATGTGAATGAACAATGAAAACAGGAACAGGTTGAACGCAATGAATCATGTAAGCAAGATAAGAACACAAAGGGCAGTGTGGATATTGTCAATTTCTGTGACATTGTCATAAAGAGACTTTTTGGAAATGTTTATAATGCTGTGGAATTTCTGAATTTCCTGTCATAGGAAAAAAACATTAAACCAATATCTTAAACTGAAATCCCTTTAAATAGCTTTCATGCAGAAAAATACTATATATGTTTTTGAACAAAACACATTTTATTAAATGCATATTGTAACAGTGCAGGAGTGGGAGGAGCCGCGGTGAACACCGGTAAATCTGACTCCCTGACTGAGGGGGCACAGGCACCAGTGCGAGGTTAGCGAAAGCCGAAAAAAAAGGAAAAAGAAACATGTGCCGCTTCCCACAGCGGAGTCAAGGCTGGACTGTCCCTATTTAACAGGGCCCAGCCTGGGAACAAGAACTGCTTGAGGCCGCGGTCCCCGGACTGGACCTTCCCGAACTAACAGGGTCCAGTCTGGGGGGAAGGAGCGCGAGGCCAAAAATAAAAAGAACAAACCCTGACCCGTTGGAGATACAGTACTCAGTGGGACAGGAGAAAAACGACAGCCTTGCGCTCTCGTCACAGGCCCCTCCGGATGGTGGTGGAAGGTGCTCCCCTTGCGGGGTACTGCTC